CATACCTACATATGAACGAAATAAAAATTCTTCTTTCCATTGATTAATGCTTCTTAGTTTCATATTAAAGTCTAGCTCATTATGTACAAAAACCATATAAATCTAAATTTCTAACTTTGCACAAAAATTAGAAAAATTCTCCATACTTTGATGAAAAAAATTCTAACACCGTAACTGAATTCTTGCTATTATACCAAAATTGAATGGACTACAAAACTGCATATCGAAATTATTTCTATAAATTTAATTTAAATGTTTGAAATTATATGAAGCCTTGCAGANCATACCTACATATGAACGAAATAAAAATTTTTCTTTCCATTGATTAATGTGATGATTTTTCTAATTGTTGTACAAATTTAAAAATTTGTATTTATATGGGTTTTGTACATAATTAGCCAGGCTTTAATATAAAATTAATAAACATTAATCAATGGAAAGAAAAATTTTGAAAACTGGTCAAAATGTCCCACTGCTATTATCGCGATCATAGCTGTAGATATATTAGAATGCATTTTATTCTATTCAGTCCTTTGTCCAGACTAGAAAATGTTATTTTTAAAATGAGACACTTGTGTATATTTTATACGGAAAAGAGGTAGAAAAAATCGTAATTCAAAATCAATTTTTTGAATAAAGAGAAGCAAATTAAGTTTTGTATTTTAAGTGTAATTCTTCCCTAGCTAGTCGCTCTTTCATTTCCAACTCCATTATTTGCAACTTTTCTTTCCACTCTAGCTCTTTTTATTTTATTGCTACTTCCCTTTCCCTTAGTTTTATTTCCTTTTCTTTTGTTTCCTTATCTTCATCTAACTTTCGTTTTCTTAAAGCTAATGCCTCAGTTTGCACTTTCATTATATCAGAAAGGGCAGTTCTGCTATAAATGCCTCTGCGGCTTGTGCTTGGAGTACATTCTACCTCTGACAAACTTTCATTTACCACTGAAGAATTGTTATTCATGCTAGAAACGCGATTCGAATTTTGAGCGATAGGTTCAATAGTCGGGTTTGAAATGCTCATCAGATTCTGAGCGTCAGGTAGGTACTGGATATCTGGACTTAAGTTGCTGATAGGATCCTGTGCGTCAGGTATATACTCAATATTTAAAATATCAAAGTTCTCTGCCTCGCTATGTAGAGTTTCCTCAATTATGGACGGCACCTGTAGTGTGCTTCCGAATATGTAATCAAATTCATAAAAGAAACTAAACATTTTTGTTAAAGTGCCTACCAAATTTTACTTTTTATAGTCAGACTGAGAATTCAATAAACATCAAAACTTTACTTTTAATAGTGTCTCCAGCCGTCATGCATATACAGCGACGCAGAAGAAGACGATGCCGAGCACACTTTCTTCGGATGCAAAAGATGGGAAGCCGAGCGCAATAATCTGCAAGACCTGGTAGGACCAATTAACCCAGATAACGTTATCCAAGCCATGCTACATAGCGAAACTAACTGGAAGAACATAGCTAAATATGCAGAATACCTACTTAGAGTCAAGAAGCGGGACCTGGGCGCAGGTGCACCGAGGGAACTTTAGTTAATGAGAAATATTGAACGCCACCCTGAAGCAATGCGATTAGTGGTCCCAGGGTGGGCGACGGTTCCAATTCGGGGGGAGTGTTTTAGTCTCCGGACATACCATTGTTGTGACGACAGCTTTGATGATGCAATAGGCATTTTCGACCCCCTGCCCGCGAAAAAAAAAATAAAAAATAAAAAATAGTGTCTCCATCCATACTTGCATACATACATTGCTTAGCGGTGTTGTAGTTCACACGCATGTTCCTCACCTTGGATCGTACACGTTTCCAGTCTAACTCCTCCAAGAAGCGCGTGTAGAATGCTTGCGCCGTCGGTTTCTTTAATTATTAATTAAACAAATCCATTTAAATCTTTCTAAGTTCGAATCTAAACCTGAACAAACCTCAAAATCCCGATTCTCCATTAAAAATTCAATCAGCTGCCGCTCTTCGATCATAGTCCATCTTTTGGTTGCATTGGAACGCACGCGTTTTACTTTTCCCTTAAATAAAAAAAACATTGGCAATTTTATACATATGTATATGTAGATGTAAGATACCTACAGCAACAATATTTTGCGTTAATTCTATAACAACTCACCTGATTATTTAAATTTATCTCCATTTCTAAGGTAAGAAGAAAAATGTAAACAAAACCAGCTGGTCGAATATCACGTTGAAATAGCGAAACATAATATTCCGTATACATAGGTTTCGCAGTTGTATTGTGCTATTTCGTATTCCTTTACGAAACAACAACAATTTTAAGACAGGTGTGCTAAAACAATAACAGATAGCACAAATACGACAAATAGCAAACCTTGTGAATACCCTAACTGTTTCTTCAATTTAATAGTGTTCGCTTTATTTTTGGAAACGAAACATGTTCTGCAAGTTCTTGATCATTTCTATATTCTTTCTTCAAATATTTCTTGTCTTTTTTTCACATCGTGTTTTTATTTCATTCGTTGTGGTGTTGGTTCATGATTGTGTGTTGATTAATAGCACTGAGGATTTGGCAATAACCTGTTTCATCAATGGAAACAACACTAGCGGGGCAATATTTATTGTAACGACATTCACATTTAACGTACGATGAAAGAACAACATTTTTTTCTTTGAATTGACATTCTTTAAGCATTGTAGACGAGGCTTTTTCCATTTAAAATAGGAAATAACCTCATTTATCTTATTTCCAAATTTTTGTTGACTTTATTTCGCAACAGTATGCACTTCATGAGAATAAAATTGTATGGGCTTTAGAACTGCGTGCCCAAACATTTTCCAAAGAGTTTGAATTTCGATGAATTTTCTCCAATTGTGTATAAAGTTTGAAACTTTTATTTATGGGGTTTTTGTTAAAGCTTGGACAATATTTTTATAAAACAAGTAATTTATAAGCANCATGAGAATAAAATTGTATGGGCTTTAGAACTGCGTGCCCAAACATTTTCTAAAGAGTTTGAATTTCGATGAATTTTCTCCAATTGTGTTTAAAGTTTGAAACTTTTATTTATGGGGTTTTTGTTAAAGCTTGGACAATATTTTTATAAAACAAGTAATTTATAAGCAAAAAAAAACCGACTTCCATTTCCATATAAAAATTTTGTAATTATAGAATTTTTTTAACGTGGTCCAAAGTTATGCGGTAATATACATAAAAAAGAATATTCCGACGAATTGATAATCTCCTCCTTTTTTTGAAGTCGGTAAAAAATAATAATGCACAAGTAATTTTTAAGCAAAAAACAAAACCGTTAATTTCTTCATGATTCAATGATCGGATTTAAGCCAAATCCTTTAAACAAAGAGTTATAGAAATCGGTTAACGTGATCCAAAGTTATGCGGTAACATACATAAAAAAATATTCCGACGAACTGATAACCTTATCCTTTTTTCGTAGTCGGTTAAAAAAATCGGTTNAACAAAACCGTTAATTTCTTCATGATTCAATGATCGGATTTAAGCCAAATTAGTATGGAACCACCTATGAGGTACCACCTTTCCTTTAAACAAAGAGTTATAGAAATCGGTTAACGTGATCCAAAGTTATGCGGTAACATAAATAAAAAAATATTCCGACGAACTGATAACCTTATCCTTTTTTCGTAGTCGGTTAAAAAAATCGGTGAAAACACATTGTGAATATATAAAAAACAAGTAATTTTTAAGCAAACATGTTATTTTTAAGCAAAAAACGAAACCGACTTCAATTCTCATATAACCCCTTGAGGAGGACGCACTGATAACCTCCTCCTTTTTTTGAAGTCTGTTAAAAACAAAACCGACTTCAATTCTCATATAAAAATTTGGGATTATTGTTAATTTCTTCATGATGCAATGGTCGGATTTAAACCCAATTAGAATGGGACTACCTGTGAGGTAATACCTTTCCTTTAAAAGAAAAATTATAGAAATCGGTTAAGATGGTCCAAAGTTATGCGGTAACATACATAAAAAAAATATTCCGACGAATTGATAACCTGCTCCTTTTTGTGAAGTCGGTTAAAAATAAACACGTGGTCACTTGTATAAGTCACTGTATATTTTGTCACCATGACCAACCGCACAATTTATAATATTTTTAATACAAGTATGTACTACATTTTACGGTTTAGAAATTCATTTATACTGTTTTTTAATAGAAATAAGTTGTTCATTATGCAATATCCAGTAGTTATATAGTATTGCTTATAAGGACCTTTGGAAAATACTGTGTGGCTTCGGACCAGGCTAACCGAGCACACTACGTACATATGTCTTCACCTTCGTGCAACGTTTGAGACCAAACGATGCTTTAGAAAAAAAGTGGTAAAATAAAACGTAGGTTAAACAGTTTGNGTTATATAGTATTGCTTATAAGGACCTTTGGAAAATACTGTGTGGCTTCGTACCAGGCTAACCGAGCACACTACGTACATATGTCTTCACCTCCGTGCAACGTTTGAGACCAAACGATGCTTTAGAAAAAAAGTGGTAAAATAAAACGTAGGTTAAACAGTTTGTTCCTTCTTAAAATAATTTGTAACCAAGAGAAAAGTAAATTGCATTAACAAGACAAAAAATATATAACCGCTAAGGTAGACTAAGGACAAACTTCGATAGGTTTTTTTTTTGCCTAAGCCGAATGTTTCGATGAACCAAAGAATAAAGCTGATTAATCGCCAGAACGAAGCCNGTTTTTTTTTTGCCTAAGCCGAATGTTTCGACGAACCAAATAATAAAGCTGATTAATCGCCAGAACGAAGCCGCACGCTNGTTCCTTCTTAAAATAATTTGTAACCAAGAGAAAAGTAAATTGCATTAACAAGACAAAAAATATATAACCGCTAAGGTAGACTAAGGACAAACTTCGATAGGTTTTTTTTTTGCCTAAGCCGAATGTTTCGATGAACCAAAGAATAAAGCTGATTAATCGCCAGAACGAAGCCATAATTTGTTAATGCATCATGTATTAGTTACGAAATTAATATACTAAATTATACAATTTTGCACAATTTCTATTTTTTCACACTACTGTATGCATGCGTAGAAAATTTTGATTTGTTACAAAAAAAAACTCATTGAACTTGTTAGAAGTCGCTTACCGATACATACATTATTTTTCTGATAAAACGTATATACATTAGTACAGGGTTATTCAAAAAACTTTCTTTTACATACGTACATAACATACAGTACACACATACATACACAATGTTTAAAATACTCTGCTTGTTCTACGATTGCATGTTTTCGTCAATTGCTGTAACAGGTTTTTCTGACACCAGCCAATATGTTACTAATCTCCTCGTCCTTACGTGCGTCAAATATTCGTTCAACATTCGCCACGGTCGCTGAGTTTCCGGTGCCATTACGCGTATAAGTTGCTACAGGCGACTGTTGCATTTGAGTGCCCATAACACCAATGGCACTGTTGGGTGCGCTAATGGACGTCAATGGTGTGCTGGTAGGGACAATGGCGGCGGTAGTGTTTGTAGTTGTAATGAAGTGATTATAAGGAGCATAACCGTTTTGTAATTGTTGACTGTGTATCTGCTGGTGGTGGTGGTGCGTGGCATGGGTAGGATGATGGTGGTGATGAGGATGCGTATATACGGAAGTGGTTGGCTGTTGCAATGGCAACGTCAACTGCAGCGGAAATGCCAGTGACGCCGGTGGAGTACATGCACTTGTAGCGGCTAGAGTGTACGGCAACTGGGTATAATAATTTGATGCTGCAGCAGAAACGACCAATGAGCTATTATATGCCTCAAAATCATCGTAATTATGATTTGTGTCAGGATATTTGGCAAATTTCATGCCAACATCACTTCTGCCTTGATCTAGCCCACTGTCAGAAATGGCATGCGTAAAATCTCCCTCGATTCCGCTAGAGTATCGTGCGAATTCATCAAAGTGCACACTCGGCGCGTAGGAGCTGGGCAGCGTTGCAAAGCTATCGGTTGAGTGAGGAATGCTTTGATGAAGTTGTGCGCTAGAACTGGGAATGCCTGTATCCTGAGTATATATAGATTGATAGCTCGACCCACAATTGGAGCTTATCGTATTTTCTGATGATGTGGTGAAAGCTGTGCCAACGTCGCAATTAGTCATTGTTTGACCCGAGTTAGTATTGCGTATCGAAGGATTTTCGGCAGCGGAAACGGGCGGATAAAATGTGCCTTTTACAGAATATCCATGATCCAGAATACCTCGACTATTGCACGTTACATACATGCCCCTTGTGGTGACGACGGCTTTCGGCGTCGTTGACAGAGGATATGTCATGAGAGGACTTTGTTGCGTCTTTGAATCCATTTTGCCATACCTAGTTACTTTTACTATATCCTTATCAGAATTTTTCGCATTCGATGACTGGTTCCGATTGGGTTTTGTTTGTTTAGTTCCCGTCGACTGACTATTACCTTTCGTGTTCGATGTCTGTGCGCCAGTTGTTATTGACTCGTTATTGGACAAGGAAGACCGACAAGTGATGGATTCGATGGTGTCGGGATTACTGAAACAATCGCCTGTGGTGGAAGGAGAGTAATTTGACCGCAGTGCTTGCTCATAAATGCTAGGTTTTGCAGGGATTGTCGGCGCCCCTTGACCCTGAAAACATGTTGCTGAATTGTCATCGGTCAACTGATTGAATGACTGATTCATCGATGGAGAGTTAGATTGTTTTTGAGCGACGGAATTTGATTTATTGCCGGTAGTGGCTTGATTTGGTGTACCGCTTTGTTCCTTCGGAGCTGGTTGCGCAGCACGAACTTTCGATGGCTTCTTTCGACGTGGTCGATATTTGTAGTTAGGGTATTCGGTCATGTGTATGACTCGGAGACGTTCTGCTTCTTCTACATAAGGCCGTCTATCCTGAGGAGTAAGTGATCTCCATTTTTTCCCTGTATAAAATAAATAAATGGAAGAGTTTCAAAATTTTGGGCAATCAAGTAGAAACATGGCACATTCAACATAGTATGTATAGTAAATTAGGGTGGTCCAAAAATGCGTATGGAAAAGTAAGGTCGGAATTTTTATGCTCTCACCCTCTAGGTTTGTTCTGTACCGAAAAAAATATACCCATATATTTTTATTTTGACATCAAAACNAGTAGAAACATGGCACATTCAACATAGTATGTATAGTAAATTAGGGTGGTTCAAAAATGCGTATGAAAAAGTAAGGTCGGAATTTTTATGCTCTCACCCTCTAGGATTGTTCTGTACCGAAAAAAATATACCCATATTTTTTTATTTTGAAATCAAAACATATTTAGAGGTCCCTCAAAGCGCTTAAAGTTTTCCATGTATTTTATATACAAAAAAAGAACACTTTTCGTAGAAACCCTATAGAATTCTTGAAAATCAATATTTTTCGATCGAAAATCAATATTTTTCGATCGAAAATCTTTATTTTTCTTCAGGAGATTCTCAATAATAATACCCAATTATTTATTCTACAGCAAAGACCAGCAGAATCAAATTTTTTCAATTTCATATATATGTTTATATTTTTAGTTAAAAGGTATGTAAATTAATAAAAATCATCAATAAAACTGGAAACAAGCCCTAGTAATTATAGCACATAATTATCAGAAAACAGAATGGGAAAATTTGGGGGTTCATCTTTTCGCTTTTGTATTTTTATTTGTCATTCAGCTGAAGCGATTTTTGTTTAGGTTTGTTTTACTGGGCGAAATGTTGAGGCGAATATCACCAGTCGACATCGCTCTGTCTGACGAAATTTGCTCGGCGATTTAATTCTGTTTATACTTTTATAATTCGCTCTCGACATGGAGCGGCCGGATACAAGTTCTTATTCTTCTCCTTAAATTAATTTTAACGGCGCTTGTTCTTAGATGCTGCCTTATTTCGTCAGCCGCGTCTTTTGTTTTTGGACATCCACATGATCGATTGGAGCCATCTCATTGTTTCATTTTAGCTATCCAGAAAGGTCTAATAATAATAATGTAATTGTAGAGACTAGATTGGATAGATAGCTATGGGATATAGTCATAGTTCTGGGTATGCTGGTACAGTTTCACGCCAATACTCAATTCCAACACTTGCGTTCTCGTTCGCGCACTCTGGTCAACGTGGGCAACTCATATGCATGATGAGGTAATCAAACCGAGTGGAGCGTTAGTTCGCGGCAGAAAGAGAGGGAGCTTCGGTGAGGTCACTCCAACTCATTCGGTTTAAGCGCTCACTGAAGTTAGCAGCGTCTGTTCACCAGTAGGTGCGGGTGCAAGCGGACGTCTCTCTTGGAGCAGGCGGCTCGCTTTTTAAACGTATATTCGGTTAAGAACCACCTCTCAGCAATGGACCGGCGTTGGGCTTGGGACCTACCACTTAAAAACCCCTTCCAATGAAGACTGATAAAAAAGCCTCCAATTTATTCGCTACTCGACTCCCACAGCTGCTCTCGGAAAGCACTCTTCAAAAAACCGACATATGTGAGCAGTGAAACCTCATTTCCCGCTCATTAAGTACCGCTGACGAAGAAGTAGTCGGATTTCAGCGAGACAGAAAGAACAACTGGTACGCAGTTTTGCCGCGACGTCATAAAAAAATGTATCGTAAAAGAAAGAAAAAATGGATCAAATGTATCACAACATTTTTATTTAAGTATCAAAGTATCAAGCAAGAAAAAACTTAAAAAATGCTTTTTGGTTGCATACCTTTGCATTTTATTATTGTCAATAACCGAGAAATCATTTAATTTCGCATTCATAAACGTGCATATGTATGTTTGTACATGAAGAAAGATATTTTACATATTGTGATATTCTACCGAAAAATATGTTATTGTTTTTNGTACATGAAGAAAGATATTTTACATATTGTGATATTCTACCGAAAAATATATTATTGTTTTTAATCTTGTATAGAGACGAGCAAAAATATTATGTATAGATTTTATGGAAACTTGAATGCAAATATATGTACATACTTAAAACTATTAGCTGTCGATCCAAGGCGAATACATATAAGGTGGTATCGATTGAACAAATACAACAATTACTTGTATTTTGTTTTTGCTTTTAGCGGGCCATTGTCAAATTTCAGCTATTCTTCCCCGAATGAAAAAGGGCGACAGAAAATGCAAACACTCTCACGTTTTCACTCACTCACTAACGAAATTCGATCAAACGCTACTCACAGCTGACATGACAATCAAACGCTACTCACAGCTGATGAAGCAACACCACCTTATATAAATTCGCTTTGTGTCGATCATTTACGTTAATTATCAAATTGTGTGATACATACCACGTTAAACTCGTTGGAAATTCTGTCAAAAAGGTGAAACTGCCTTCAATGTCGACTTTATTTTTACTATAAATACGCCCCATGAACCAACGACTACAGATCACCTAATCAGCCATCGTTGTATTTGTAATCGATTTTCAGAAAAAAGTTTTCGTAGCGTTTTTGACGTTTTTCGATTTTGTTTACACCGTCTTCTACCTANCACTTTTCCGCCCTACTGAATGGTAGCAGCACGGAAAGTTGTGGAGAAGAAGAACCCGAGCCCGCAGTCTATGACGACGGAGTCGATGTACCACCGCCTGACTATGACGAGGTACGAATAGCAATAACGCGGCTGATAAACAACAAAGCTGCTGAAGCTGACAGCCTGCCAGCTGAGCTATTCAAGTACGGTGGCGAAGAGTCGATAAGGTGCATGCATGAAATCTTAAGCAGTATATGTACAGACGAACGCATGCCAGACGACTGGAATTTAAGTGTGATCTGCCCAATCTACAAAAAAGGCGACCCCCGCCATTCGCGCCATTTACCGCGGATCAGCCTTCTAAGCATAGGTTATAAGGTCTTATCGATTGTATTGTGCGAAAGAATGAAGTCCACCGTCGACGAACTGATTGGACCGCATTAGTGTGGATTTTGACCTGGCGAATCCACCATAGACCAGGTATTCACGCTAAATCTTGGAAAAGACCCGCGAGAAAAGGATCGACACTCACATNTGGACCGCATTAGTGTGGATTTTGACCTGGCGAATCCACCATAGACCAGGTATTCACGCTAAATCTTGGAAAAGACCCGCGAGAAAAGGATCGACACTCACAACCTATTTGTCGACTTTAAAGCAGATTTAGACAGCACTAAAAGGAGTTGCCTATACACCACTGTGTCTGAATTTGGCATCTCCACCAAACTGATGCCGTGTAAAATTACGTTAAGCTCCGACAGAATTGGGAAAGACCTCTTCGAGCCGTTCGCCACAAAACAGGGTTTCAGTCAACCCTGGCGACCTACTGACCGTTGTACAGAAAGTGCTAAAAATTATGAAGGGAAAACTTTTCCACCCCACTAAATGGTAGCAATAATGAAAGTTGTGGANGGCGACCTACTGACCGTTGTACAGAAAGTGCTAAAAATTATGAAGGGAAACTTTTCCACCCCACTGAAAGGTAGCAATAATGAAAGTTGTGGGGAAGACGAACCCGAGCCCCCAGTCGATGATAACGGAGTCGATATCCCAATATCTGACTATGACGAAGTGCGAATAGCTATTACCTGACTGAAAAACAACAAAGCTGCTGGAGCTGATGGCGTGCCAGCCGAGCTATGTATTCAAGTATGGCAGCGAGGACCTGAGAAGGTGCATGCATCAACTCGTATGCCTAATTTAATTATGCTCTGCCCAATCTACATGAACGGCGACGCCGCCATACTTGCCAACTACTGCGGGTTAGCCTTCCAAGCATAGGTTACAAGGTCTTATCGAGTGTATTGTGTAAAAAACTGAAGCCCACCATCAACGAGATGATTGGGCCTTATCAATGTGGCTGTAGACGTCTACATTTTGAGATATTTTCTAACCGTAAAATCTGTGGTGTTGATGTTTCCCAAACAAAATTGGAAAGCGACGCCGCACAGTGATACTTGGTCTTCAATTCGTTCACATAAATCCAAAAACCGGTTTTTATGATCAGTGTGAAAGTGTCAGTGGCGCAGAGCTCTGAAAAGTAAAATTGTAATGCTAAATTGTGTCAAATGGGGTCTTCTTCTACAGGGCAGTGTCCGACCTTTTGTTTAAGACGCGATTTTGAAAGTTTTTCTGAAGACGATTTTTTAAATAAAATTTTTTCCACCAATTTCATGTAAGATATACGCCAACATGATTATATTATATTTTAACATTTTATTTAAGAATTTTAAATACAAACTTAATAACCAGATATAACTAAATTTTACGTGATTTGTTAAATATTTTTCAGACTAAACACATTGCTATTAATTTCAAGCGCCACATTGTTTTTAGTTATTTTGATTTCAGATTCGAATTTTGCGACCCCAATAACTCTTAAATAATATAAACCTAAGCAATTCTTATTATTATTTTTATCAAAAGTATTGTGTTTAAGATTTTAGGGGCCACATCGGATCGGCTATTTTGGTTTTTTTTTTTTTTATTTTGACTTCAGATTCGAATTCAGCGATCTGGAAAACCCCTATAAACTTAAATTCATGTGAATATACTAATTTTTTAAATACTGGGCACAAAATGGGTATCAAATATCACTGTGCGCCGTCTACATTTTGTCATATTCAAAGGGTATGTTTTTGGTATATGAGCAAATGCCACGAGTTGTTACATTTTTCGACAAAACCGTGTTTTTGGTCGAAAATGGGGGTTCACCTTTTCAGCTGTCTATCTCGTTGAGATATCTCAAGTTTCGCTTGAATTATATTGTAAGCGGGTGGCATAGCTTTCTCGAGTTTTATATGCCTTTTAAGCATTTTGGCATATAAGTACGCACAATTATAAAAATAGCAAATTCGATTGAAACCGAGATTGATTCACTAGGCGCACATGGTAATTTGAGTTTGGAATAATTTTTACAAGATTTTATTAAAAATATATTGCAATA